CGTTCTCTGAACTGCTTTAGGAGAGGACCGTCTTTAAATGAAGAATGGCGTTACACACGATGTTACAGTTTGCTTTTATAGATATGTATACACGAATCAGCACTAATTAGTTGGTGTCATGTTTCCTCCGCTACGACAAAGAAGTACTTTGAGTAAATCATCGCTGGTTCCCATGGTCCGCTGGCGTCACCCTTGCTGCACAAGAAGGATGTCGTGGGATGTCGTTATAATTAGTCATAAGAGTAGGTCGACTTGGAACATGAGGATCTGCTTCATGACTCGAGTTGTAACCCGAAGGGCCTTGAGCTATTCCTCGTTGAGGATACATGCTCTGTTCTGGTCGTGGTTGTCTGGTCTCGTAGGCATGGTATGGCCTACCAGCCTGTCGTACAGGGCGCCTGATGAAGTAGTCGCCGTCCGGATGATGAGTCTCAACGACTTCGTATGCATCTGAAAGCTCTAGCGGAGGACGAGTACTGTGACGATTATAATAGAAATGATCGGAACCAGCTGGAGAATCGAAGTGGCGTTCTTGTGGTGCATACTGAGACCAAGGGCTAGGTTCTCTAGAATAGAATTGGCTGTGGTTGTTGAACCACGAGGATGAAGGTCGGGCATACTCGCCAAACCTTTCAGCAATGACCGGGCCATATCTGGATTCCTGTGGTAGGGTATTTCGGGCTCTGAGACCTCTTCCAATCTCCCGTCCGGATTCATCAACGTAGATGACCTCTTCCTCTTCAACCATGTGGTGATTATGGGCCACATGAGGTTCTTCACGCCCTCTTGTTTCGACCTCCGCGTAGCCAGGTGCTGCAGCGGCCGAGGTGGCCACTAACGGATGCTGGTCTTGAGGCCGATCCCCAACAGATGCGCTTCTGTTACGTGAACTAGCTGGTTTTGGACCCGAATAACGCTGTTCTCGGACGTCACGGTAATCAGACGATTTCTCCTCGCGCCAATGAGCCTTGTTCTGAGGCTCTGTGGGATATGAAACCTGATAGGTGGCGACTTCCTGCTCAGTCTCGACTCCGACGTCAACCCTTTTCCTTCGGCTATGTGGATCGTGAAACTTTTCCAAGTACGGTGGCGAGTAGTTGTCAAATGATGAAGCACTATCAGCGACTTGAGATGCAGGTTTCCCTTGTGTCCTAGCCCCGATCATCTTTCGACCATAAACCTCGCTTGCTGGACGAAGATGTGGTATGTCTGGCTCAGACTCGATATGTGACGAAAAGCACAGATCTAGTCGACTTGATGCCAAGGACTGACTTCCCAGATCCGCATGACCTAGCTGCTGCGTTTGCTCTCCCACATGCCCGATATCACTTTGCTGGTGTTCCTCCCTTGACCGATTGTTTGGCACAGCAGTGAAGATCTGAGCTGGCGTCTGCACTGACACTTGCGGAGGTAAGGTATTATTGGGGTTTGTTTGCATAGGCTTCGAAGCATATTTGTCAATGAAGGCTTGTTCGAATGCCCAGGGAAGAGCCTCCTTAACAAGAGTGTACAAGACAGAGTCTCCCCGAGCCTTCATTTCCAGTCCAGCCATTCGCTCGTTTTCAGGCATTTTTATCATTTCTGTTCGCCAATCCATATGTGCTCGTCCTTGACTCCGGGGCTTTTCGACATGCTCTGACTCAAAATGTCTGGCGAGTTGAAGTACGTGAAAGATGTTGTCGTCGTTGCACACCTTGCAAGAAACTCCATTGAGAGCCCTCAGACTGCGTAATTTCTTATTTTTCGATGTGGCTTCAATGAACAGCGACAATGGTAGGGTCTCGCTCTCCGACTCCTCGAACAATTTGTTAGCATGGTAAATGGCGACGTAAGCCCTAACTGCAGGTGGGATCTTCTTATGATGCCCAACCCTTGACCAGACAGACTGAGTGCTCCTGACGAAATTTTCATGTTGATGTTGATGTGTGCTGTTGACTGAGGCGATGCTATTGCCGTCGTAGTAGTTCGGATATGATCCACCCTCGGAAGGGTTAGGAACTGGAACTGGAGGTCTTGTGTAGCTGCTCAATTGTCTTTGAGAGCTATGTGTCATTTCCGAGGAAAACAGTCCTGGGTATGAAGAATATGTTGCAGGGTCGTAATATGTTGCTGTCGAGTAAGATGGGCCATAGGTAGGGGCTGAATTTTGCCCATATGCAGATATAGGAGGAATTGGAGGCCTGGGACTGTAGAACGAGAATGGCGGTGCTTCTGCGCCGTAAGCAGGCAGATGATATACTGCTGGTGTACCAGGTTGAAAGACAGAATGGTTTGGTTGAATTGGAGCGTTTGACGCGAGCGCGTTGCGTGGCTCGTTGCCATGATAGGCTTTCTCTTTGGCGAGAGGGTCAGGACTAAAAGGAGGCACTTCTGGCCACTCCGCTCTCCAATGCACGACAACATTCCCCAGACTGAGAGCCACCGTGTGCTTGGCTGCATAGTGTTGAAGTACACCCTCGAATCCAAAGAACTTCAAGACTCCATTCACACCGAGGCAGCTGTTACAAAGAAACAACTCCTTGCGCATGGGTTCGGTACGGGGTTTGATCTTGACATCAAAGACCCATTTCATGTTCTCCAGTGTCAACCGTTGAGTCCAAGGCCCCTCTGGGGGCTCGACAACCGGCTTCTTCCCTGCCGCGATTGTGGCAGCTGTGTCCTTTGCAACTTCGGCATAGAACCTTTTACGAACGTAAAGCAGCACATCTGCGGCATATTGCGGACAATTCTTTCTCTTAACCTTGGCACCGTTGTTCCATCCTTCGATGATTTCGTCTGCATATTCCGATATGCGCGCTCGAACAGGCCCCTGGATATCATCCCATTCCTGGTCTGTAACTTCTCTTGGTTCCCGAGAGGGCTTTTTATCAGCCTCCATTGTCGGAAGCTTGTCTTCAAGTGTTTGGGGATTGCTATAACTTTGCTTCTCTCGCAGCTCCGCTTCTACCCTCTGGGCGAGAAGACGGGGCTTCAAGAGTTCCCATGCGTGATCATCAAGCGGCGTGATGAGTTGAAGTGCTGCCTGAAAGGATGGAATATGAGCCAGAACATTTGCAGTCAACGGAGGATCAAGTAGCAAGGCCCGATTCTCAATGTCGGTCCGTCTTTGAGCCTTAAGGTGAGCTGCCTCCTCCTTCGTTCGTTTTTGCTGAACTGGAGTGCGTAAGGGGTGGGGATTAGCCTCCAATGGCACTCTTGATCCACGGCCGTCATCTGCAACAGGTACTTGGCGATGGTGCTCGCCGATCGATTGAGCGGGATCTGGCGAGGTCTTACCAAGAGGAGCTGAAAGAGCCAGAGGCGTAGATGAGAATGGAGCTTCTGCTTTGGCAGCAGTCTTCAGTGCTTGAAACTGAGCCATCCCACCTGTACTAGCCCATTTTTCCCAACGAGAGGCATCAGCTAGAGCCTGCTTTCCTCGGATCTCTAGACCTTTTATCCACTCTTCGGCAGCAGCAGACCCAAGTGCCTTGACTTTTTGGAATTCCAGCTTGATTTGTTCAACATGCTCCGACCAGAAGAGTTTGGTAACCTGGATGTGTGGCTGCACAGTCCCGGCTTGTATGGCACGGGGATGTATAACATGCATATCGGCATCCACAAGCACTAGAGGAAGAGCTGGGAGCAGAACAGATGGAAATGAAGAAGACAAGAGAAGATCTAGTTCCTATTGCTGACGTTAGAATTGCATCCGGGGAGAATCCTGAAACGCCTACCTTGATGCCCTTTTTCTTCAGGCAATTTCCGCAAGCGAAGACACAAAAGGGGAAAATGGGACAGACGTCACTTGGGCCTGGACCACGACACCAAGCTTCGTTGTTCGAAGATGGTAGCTTTTTCTGGCTCTGGAAACCACAAAGCTGGCAAGACATGGAACAAACGAGACGCCACATCTGAATCTCTAATTTCCCTTTTAGGGGTGCAGGCATACGTGGCCAAAACAGCCTTCTTGAAGCTTGCCAGATTGCATCTGGCTTCAGTATAGGAAAGGTTGACGGTATATCATTATAACATACTGGAGAATGAGTGGAAAAGGGGCTAAGAAAGGCATGAAATAGTTTGTTGACAGTCAACAAACGACCCAGGTCTCTGGGTGGTACTAGAGTAAAGATATGTTGCCATATCTGTTCCGGAAGCTGCTTGGCTCGATCCTTCGCAAGACTTTGAGCCGCCAACCCTGGAAGATGGGCTTTATCAAGCTTAACTTTCTTAGTTTGCTGGACAGCCCTGCAATCTATTGACTGTCGCCTTTTTTTCGAGGGCTGGGAGATGGCATCGAGCAGAGCCGCTGCAGGGTCATGGCTAGAGGCTTCTGAGGGTTCATAACCCAGATCATCAGCCATGTGCACGTCGGCCTCGCTTCTACCACTGGTTGTCGATGCTCCCGTGGTGACGGCTAAACCAGAGGTGCCGGCCCTTTGACTCTCCGGGATAACCATCCCTCATCTGACGCGCTACTGAATAGCAGTGATGAGTAAGAACGGGAGACACAAAAAGAAACAACTTGCTTGACGGGTCATCAAGCATGTAGAGTGAAAGGGATGGTCAACACTTGTCTGCGTGAATGGTAAGGAGCAATGGGGAAAGGTATCGCGTTGCAATTCAAGTGTAAGCAATATGGGTCGGACGCTCAAAAGTCGCCTGCGTTTCTGTACAAACCAAACGTTGCTCGTAATGCGGCGTGAAGTAAATTCAGAGTTGTCTTGATTTGGGAAGCAATATCTCAGAGCAAGGACAAAAGATCTGAACTTATCGATAACAGTGTCGGCCAGGGGGGCCCAATTTTTATTATTAAGCATGGGAATAGTTGGTGATTAATAACATCCAATAGGTACCTAGTACTAACCTAACCCTTTGTGAGACTTCAAAGAATCCAATTTGGGCCCCCATCACTGGGGCATTTGAATAAGTAGAGTTGCTTGATTTTACATTTCATTTGTTGCCCATCATAACATTACAGCACAAGATCAACGACTATTTTCTCTGATATTGCTGCAGCATCATTGCATATTCGCATCTCTGCCACCTCCTTGTCCTGGCGCTTGTGACGTACTTCCACTACGACCACCCAACGAAGAGGTCTGTCCCGGGGATGACTGGTCTCCTCCAGCGCCGTATATCTGAAAACTCTGGTCTGCTCCCCAGTTGGCCATCTGCGTATAGTTTTCAAAGGCATTCTACTCCAAGTTAGAAACGGGTACAAGTGATCTCTTGACGGAAACGCTTCTTACCCAGTCAAAGTTCGCGCCCATATCCATCCCAGCATTAGTGTTGGCTCCCAGGTTACTGAACATGGAGGAGAAAGGGGAAGCTGGACCAGCCCCAGCGAATCCATCGGTTTGAAAATCAAGTCCTTCAGACCCAGGCATGCCAAAGTCCATGCCCATAAAGGCGGCCGGGTTAGGCGTCGAAAAGGGGTTGGCCGTCGCATTGAAATCGGGCAAGCTGTTTGGTGAGACAAAATCCGGCGCCATAGCCGGCGAAACATCAGTCCCAACACCTTGCGTCAGGCCTGGCATTGGCGATGGAGCGCCCGGCATTTCTGGACCGATCGAGGCAGGGTCCTTGATCTTATCTAGCATGATATCGATGACCTTAGCCGCCTTGAATGCTTCCATCGAGGTATCTGCAAGTGTGTTCCAAATTTCTCTCGCTGTTTCTAAGCTGCCAATCATTTTGGATCGTTGGTCATCGTTCCAAGTTGAAGCACCCTCATCGTCTTGGGGAACTGAAGACTGCGCGGCAATGTTGTCAAAATGGAGATCAAGAATGACCAGCATTGCAGGCAACGTAAAGTCTTTGGTAGCGATCGACTTCACAAACCAACTGACTGAGCGCAGCCTCCCGTTGGATTGTGATTCTCGGTACAATACTGCCAGATGATCGAGCGCGGTCAATGATGCTTCAATTGCAGCCCTCCGAGAGTGTGCATATCTTGCGCTCTGCCTCGCCCTGGGAAGGTATTTTCGGTGAAGCAAGCATAGAATCTTCTGGTATAAGATATCGACATTGAACCTGGCAATGATCAGAGTCACTGGATCATGGGACCCTTCTAATGTCGTTAACTTCAAATGCGGCGGTAATTCTTGCATGATCTGTCGTAGTTTGGCATCGAATCGAATAATCTCGTCGTAAGGCACATGCTTGCCAACTTGCCCTGTAGCCTGGAGGATGTTTCCCAACTCAAAGCATAATCTTGACTTGGCAATCATGTAGGCGATGGGAGTAGCGACAGTGGATGGTCGAGAAGGGGGCAGCTCCTTGACGCTGGGATTGAACTCATCGTCAAATATGTTATTGGGCAGTTGGGTGTCGCAATCATTTTCGTAGATCATGCTGGGCAGAGAAACCTGATGGGAGAAGATAACGTCCGACATTCGCACGAGAGCCCACGTCCGCCGTCTCATTTCCTAACAATGATCAGCAAACCCATATTAGCAGCAGACCAGCGTGCAGCTTACCGCTTGAAATGGTGTAATTGACGGAAACCATTTAGCGTCTCGGTGGTAACCCATTCGATACGCGATTCGAACAATTAAAGACACGATTAACCACAATCCTAGGTCAGCATCCCATCGAGACGAATATTCTCCAAATACATAGAGTATCATAGTCTCAACCGTATATTCGTTAGGCTTTGTATAGTCTGATTTGATCAGGCATTGCACCGTGCGTAAACGGTATTCGTTTGCAAGCTCAAGGGTTCGCCCTCTCCACTCAGGAGGTTCGTCGCCCACTTTATGGTAACTCAGCATTGCTAGGCAGAGAACCGAGTAGAGCATACCAAGCCACATAATGGGTGTCTTGTTGGGATCTTGCCAGTGATCTTTCAGCTGCTGTTGAAATGTTGGTCCATGAATGATGTTGACAGCATTATCCATGGAGTTGAAATATCGACTGCAGAGCGTCAGAACAGCAGATTTGGGGGGAAGCTCTGCTCTTATTTCAATCTCGGAAGCTGGGAGTGCTCCTAGCAGGAGTGTCGGCCCCTCTCTTGCAGCCATGGGCTTTGAAGATTTGACTCGCTCATAACTTGTTTCTAACTCCTTTTTGTGAGACGTGAAGTAGTTTTTCACCTCAGATATATCGGCAAGGAGGGTATGCCAATGTTCCTGGCCAACATACAGCGACTTGCCTTTGTCCGTGTCCACTTTAAGAAAACCCAAAGACGTAGCCAGTCCCTCCTCTTCGTCACTGTTTTCCTCCTCATCATATGCCATTGCATTGTCGTCTCCTTTTCCAGCCTTGGCGGAAGATCCGCTGTCCGTGGTGGATTGTGTTGTCGCTGCTCCAGCGGCGGCAGCGGATGCAGCATCTACATTAGCACCTCCGTGCATAAGGGATAAAACTAAGCCTTCTAAACGGTCAATACGATTCTGCATGTCATCAGGACTCGAGTCTCCTTGACTTTGATTCTTCTTGCGTGTAACCGGCGTGGCATAAGAGCATGAGGTGGTCCCCATACCCTCGCGCTTCGTACAATTGCTGCAAGGATGACTTCTGTCACATTTTCTGATGGATATTAGTAAGGATGAGGAGTTGAGAGGTGTCATTTGAACTCACAGCCTACGGACGATGTTAGTAAATATTGATGCACTACTCTAGGGGTAACCTACTTGCGCGTCCTACAAGGATAGCAGCTTAGAGGCACGCGATTCCTCTTCCTCACAACACGGAACTGTTCCTCGGGAGACCGGGCTCCCTGAGATGAGTTTGTCGAAGGAGGAGTTGGGGTCATTGTGACAAGAGGAACGAAACGACCAGGGCGTTTCAATAGATAAGATGAGGGATCCGACTCTAATATTGGTAGAGAATGATGAGACAAGAGTTGGTCAGCGCCAGTGGAAACCCCATCAATATATTGAGTCTTGAGCTGTTGGCGGAACCCAAAAGAGCTTGGTATGAATAATACAACGCACTTCCAGAATACTGCCGCAGCTACGGCAACCTAGTCAACAGAAGACTTGTCTGACCAACCGGGAAATGCGGCTCCACGAGTCAACCCGCCTGGTAAGCCAATGTCGATGTCGTAACACAGTTGCGCAGGATAATGGAACCGTTTCGCCCCAAACGATCTCCAGGAACCCAGAGGTGGCGTTGATCAAGTCCGACACGTCCGTACGCCCTTAGGCCTGCAGCAACAGCGAATTGACACGGTACAGCACAGCCTCCCACTTGAGGCACCGCACAGTGTGATACAGCGAAGGTGAAAGGGCGGATGGTGATAATCCGTGAAGATATCGGGGGCCGGGGGCACCCAAAGTTGCGGTCTGCTGGGAATGTGTGATGGGGGATTCAATTCTAGGCAATAGGGCTTTGCAGGACACTCGCTATAGTTGATGACCGAGATCGTAGCGATAGCGAGGTCGCGAACCCGTCAGGGAGGAAGAAGACGGCAACGGGAGGCGAAGATAGCGAGGAGACGGCCCAAAGAAGACGCCTGAGCTCAAGCTACCTATAGAACGTCACAGATGGATTCCAAGTCCAGACAGAAAGAAATGGATGGAGAATGGCGGGTTGTTTTTTTTGTCGAGTCGATAGTTACTCAGTAAGCTCAGTCAGCAGAGGAACAGAGGCTGTGAGGGCAGATGACGCAGGATATCCAAACAGAGGATCAATGAGGTGATAGAAGCTGGTCATAGAGGTGTCGGTACCTCCGGTGCCTTGCTTCAAATAAGGAGAGAAACGAGAAGATCTCTGAAAAGGGTGGAAAGGAAAAGGGCTAGATCTGAATCCAATTTTTGGTCTCCAGAATGTCCCGTCAGCATCAGCCTTATTAAACCGCCCGGCAGCCTGGGAATGAGGAACAAACGAACTAGTTAGGCACCGCAGTCAGGTCAAGGAACGCGTGTGCGTCCCAGCATCGATGCAAGATGCAGCAAGATGGTGGGGTTGTTTTACATTCACAGAGACAAGGGTACCTTAATTAATTCTTGTCTTCGTTCTTCGATTTAAAAGAGCCTTTGTGATGCCTCTGCTGTCTTGCACGTGTCTTTCCTGTGCTTAGTTAGGAGGCATCCATCCCAGTGCTCTCTGCAACTGGCATAGTTTACCTGGGCCTCTTTTTTTATTATTAGCTTCTTCAACATGATGGCTGAAGTCAGCCAGGTGCAGTAACATCACTTGACGGGCGTTACGGCAACTATCTCAATTGAACGAACCACAATCTGCTAAAAAGAACCAAAGTCGCAAATCTTACTTGCCTAGCCTGTGAGTCATTCTCGTTCATCGGATTCGACATCTGCTGTATGGATACTCGGATTTCGGGGCCGGCCCTTGTTTATCACCGATATTTGTCATTAAACTCCATCACACCACACTCTTCGCTCTGTATCTAAGGCCTTCTATTGCCAGTTCCCTGACTTACACTACTATTATGGACAGACACTATGTCGATCCGATCATTGTAGTACGTTACAAAACGAACATTGGAAACCAGCGGTAACTCCATCGTCTTTGGCAAATTACAATGTAGCTACAGCTATGATCGCCTAGAAATGGTGATGTTTACATTTCTCTCCATGCTCGACTACTCCTGTAGATATTGTGAACCAATTCCTGTACAGCTCCCAGAAGAAGCTGATATGACCAATCAGAAGTATCCGGGAGCCCAACACATGATGTAGCCTAACCATTCAGTGAGCCATTAGTTAGTTGCATGATAGGTTTGACAAGAGCTCAGCAGCGCTGTTTTATATGGCCACAATATTCTTGGATAAAGGCCCTGCGCCTTAGCTTTCAACCCCCTGCGACTTCAGGACTTCTTGGCCTCGTTTCCTCTCCTCAATTTGCCACTCGATAAACCACTAGCCAGAACGCTTGATATTGCATTGCCAGATACTATCACTCAAACGGTTGGGGTTTACCAGGGCCAGCCAGGCAGTGCAACATTCAGCAGTACGCGACGGGCTATTATCACGCCTTCTTAACATAAATGCGTCATGAGTTTCGTAGCGTATGTATTCTCGCATCAAACAGCTGTGGGAGCGCTGACGCTGTACTTGGTAAGGAACTCGGCGTCGTTGGCCATTTCCTCCTTGACCTATGGATTTGTCAGCCTTAGTCAAAGCGAAAATGTGAATGCAGCTTACAATATCCAGTCCACCAACGAGCTCGCCATCAATCCAGAGCTGCGGGTATGTTGGCCAGTCCGCAAATTCCTTGAGCCCCTGTCTAACTTCGTCGTCGGCGAGGATGTTGAAGAAACCATACTTGACCGAGTTGTCGCGCAGTAGCCCAACCAATTGTCTGGAGAAGCCGCATTGAGGAGAGCTAGGTGTACCTTTCATAAAGAGCATGACGGGTGCAGCCTTCACGAGGTCCCCAAGACGCTTGAAAAGTTCCTCCTTCTTCTTCTCGGGATCTTGCTCCTCGGCATCGGCACCGTTGGTATCGATACCGTTCTGTGCGCTTTCCTCTGAATTCTGACCAGATTGCTTTGCCTGTGTCTCGATCGCCGTGCGCACCTTTACGGCACTACTGCCACTCACAGTCTCGACAACTTGGCCGTTCCTCAAAAGAACAAGGAAAGGGACTGCAGTGACATCGTACGTCTCGCTGAGGTCGCTCAGATCCTCTGCGTTGATGGAAACCCACTTTGTGGTAGGAGGTTCGGTGACTGGATATTCGGAAGCGAGGGTCGACAAGACGGTGGCCATTTGCGCGCATGGTGCGGCCCACGGCGCATGAAACGATGCGACGACGAGGGTAGTGGAAGGGACAGAACTGAGCAGCTGCTCCCACTCGGGGATACTGTTAATTTCCGTGATGGTAGACATTTTGGTGGTGGTGAGATGGATGCGTCAGGGTTTCGATCTGATAAGAGACGGGAGAGAAAGAGCAGTCGGGGTCGAATTGGTTCAAGTCAAGGCCGGTCAGTCACAACTCATTAATCTCCACGGAATTTGGGGGGCAAAGGTTGACTTTGGCGGGGTACAAATATTGGCATCCAATGACAGGCAAGGCGAAAGAAAAAGAGGGAAAGACAATTCTCTGTGTAAGAGCACGGCACTTGGGGTTTGTGAATACGACTCTACGTCGACTAATAACTCCATTCAAGCTTAGAGCACATAAATTCGTGCTTGTGTATAAATTACTTGCACATCTTATCTATCATCAAAGAAAATCAGGGTCTATCAGTTTTCACAAGCCCAGAGAGGCAGTGGTATGGAGAGAGGAGGGGCAACAGATTGTGCAAATAGAAAATTGCCCTTGCGTCATTTCCTTTGGCTTGTACTTCATGTCTGGTGGATAGGTAAGTAGGTACCTACCTAGGTAATATCAGCCCTCCGCTGCCGGAGCTGTGTACTTGCATATAGCCTTGGTAGATGCATTCTGATATGTAATGCTGACATTGACAGCTCCCATCGCTATAACCAGTTAACAGCTCATCAAAGCAGCACAACGGAGCACACAGCGCATACAGGCATGAACAGCGCAGCTTGACCCCGCTCAGCCCACTGTAGACCAGCTAGACCGCCCCAAGGTTGGGCATTCTTTAAGCTACCCGCATTACCTCAGTTCACTGATGCAGACGACGCAAGAAGCTACATCATCAGCCACACTTCAAGAAACCCACTTCTGGGACCTTTTACTGTATGGTTTCCTAAGGTAGGTTTCCACCGTCCCCTGATCTACGTTCAGTTTCCATCCTCAACTTCTCCGAAAGACAGCTCGCACAGCAATATCTCGACGCTGTGCGATACCAGACGTACTGGAGAATTGATCACGATAATCCTTCCCCTAACTACGCCTCCGCAACTTTGATCTTCTCTCTCCGTGTGGAGCTGCCGCCGCCGCAGCAACGGTGTCAACGTCACCCCCAACCTCCGTCATCCTAGCTCGTCAGCTTCCGCTTCAGCTTCAAGTCTGCCTCACTCCGTTTTAACATCTCAAGAATCCCCAAGATGGCATCTCTCAATACCTCGATAAATGGCCCGTCCATCAAGAGTAGTTACAGCAGTGTTGTTAACGGTGCCCCGCCATCTTCCGAGTCTCCCACTCATGCTCACTGGGCCCTTTTCTCGGTCCAGGCCCCTCTTTTGAATGCCTTCCAAGACAGCGGAGCCAAGGAGAGTATTCTCAAGGTCCAAGGAACAGGCGGTATGTTACACACAAGGGGATGTCTATCATCCCGTCAGCCCGCTAATATTTATACAGAAAGCGACCTCGCCGATCTGATTGAGGACTTTAGTGAAGGGCGCATTCAATTCGCATTTGCCAAGGTCAAGGATCCCAACAGTGGCCTTCCTAAAAACATATTGATCGCATGGTGTGGAGGAGGTGTTCCTGAGCGAACCAAGGGCTACTTCACCAGCCATCTTGCTGCGGTTTCCAAGATCCTCCACGGATACCATGTTCAGATTACCGCTCGCTCCGAGAGCGACCTCGAAATTGATGCCATCATGCAAAAGGTGGCCGATGCTTCCGGCGCCAAGTACTCAGCGGGAAGCTCAGACAGTCCTCGTTCTGCTGCACCTCCTCCCGTCAAGACCAAACCTGTCTTCACCCCGACAGCCTCCAGCCGTGCCAACCCACTCGTCGCTGCTCGATCCAAAAGAGAGGAAAATGTCGACGAGGATGGGTGGGGCGCTGATGCTCCTCCTGTCACAAGGACTCAGATTGAAAAGGTCGAATCTGCTTACAAGCCTACAAAGGTCAACATTGCTGATCTCAGCAAGCAACCCACAGCGACTACCAGCGGAAGCGCCCCCGTCAAGCGCGACGACACACCAGGCG